TGTTTTTAAATGCTTCACACAACTTTTCCCAGCACTTCAAAGCTTTAAGTATTACCGAATTTGAAAGTTATTTTTAATGTGATGACATTATTTGTTCATCCTTCATAGGTTGCCCCCATTTATAAAACTAAAAGTTTCATGATGTAGGAAAGCAAACACTTATTTAAAAATAAAAAATACATTAAATTACCACTAGTAGATGGCTGCAGAGAAGTACTTAGGCTTATTAGCCATCTCCACGCCCAAATATTTTTTTGTATTTATTAAATTATATTTAGACATTATGAATGACAGTAATAAAAGTTAATTTTATCTGCATCTCAACTACCCAGACAGCACAAGTACATCTGTAAGACGTCTGCTAAAGATCTGGGAAACATCTGCTGTGTAATCTGATAGCGTCTCAGAAGCAGTTTTACATGCATTCTAATAAATGTCTATTTGACATCTGACAGGAAACGTCTTAGAGATGTATTGCAGATGAGCAAACACTCAAAAAAATGCATCTTGCATATGTAAATGCAGACATCAAATAGACATCTCCGAGATGTACATGTGCGATTAGGGTGAGTGCTTTACTGTCAGGTGCTGTTGCCACCTTCTGTAGAACTTAACGGCACTGGTGCTGGTGTCCTCAAATGTTAGTCTGGAGCCCTACAATGGTTCTCGAAGTCGGAAAAGTCATAATGTTAGAAGAATGTTGTCTGTGGTATATTTTCACTGCATAACAATAAGAAATGCCGCAAATATCACCGCAAATTTTGAGAAAAGCCGCAGCAAAATCATTTTAGCATTTTAGGCCGCAAAAGTCAGAAAAAGTCCCGCGATATACTGGAGGGACTGGTCAATGTGTAAACAAATCAAAAGGGAGTGTGAAAGTCCATTAGTATTAATTGCAAACTTAAAGTTATTTATAGGGTGCAGTATAACGTGTTAAATCTTCATAAAAAAAATTAAAAAAACGCATAATTTTTCACATAATTTTCCTTTATTCTACACCGCTCCATCCCTTCTCCAATGAACACTCTGATGATTTCCTGGTTTTATGAAGCCCCTCCACTAAACCGCCTAGTGTGGGTACAGAAACATCACGCCCCTCACCTCAGAATGCACTCCGGTTGTATTGTAAACAATGAAGTCTGTTCTGGCTCTGCCTGTTTTAGCTTGTTTTTGGCTCCCCCTACTGGTCATTTTGTATTCTACCGCTTGAATTTATGTTATTCAGTTTCCGGGTTCAGAAGAATAGCGTGCCCAGCACATGATAGAGCAGTTTTGTTGTTGCATCATTCCATCATATTAACAACACTTAACGAGGCACTGCCTTGTAAGTCAAGTTTGATTATCGTTGATTTATGTTATTCTGTATGTTTATCAAGGACTACATATGGAAATAGTTGTTTTCATAATACGTGATTGTGAAATACGTAGTTCTGTTTATATTATAAGATCTTTGAACTGCTTAAGCTCCCATTAAGCATTTATCTCTCAGTTTATTTATGCTGTGTAAACATTTTGCATAATTATCTCATGTTAGATAAAATTGGACTCAACATTTTCCATTACAGTTCCATTACAGTTTATTTATACAATCTTTGTTTTATTTTACAGTTTTACACATTTTACTCAGTAAATCATCCGAATTATGACTTCCTGGTGTCAAGTCCGTTTATTGAGTCGAAGTGTTTAGCTTGCTGGATATGAAGCCAGTATAGTAAAAAGGCAAGTTTCACACAAGAGTTGTTTATCACGGAAGCAGAAAACAACTGCGTTTGTTGTCCACGGCATAGAGGCTAACACAACAACTGCAGTCATGGAAGATGACAAAAGTCAGTCAGCTCCATCTCGACGCTCTGTGTCTTCCAGCAAGTCCACGGTCAGTATGGCAGCAACTAAAGCAAGAGCGAAGGAAATTAAAATAGAGAAAGCGCGCCTTGAAGCAACATTAGATGTAATCGAGAAGGAGAGAGAGGCAGAAGCTGCAATGGCAGAAGCGGCAGTCATGGAAGCTGCTGTCGCAGATCTAGAAATGAAAAAGCCACATCATAGTTAGCGGTAGTCATGGAAGCTGCTGTCGCGGATCTAGAAATGAAAAAGTCACATCATAGTTCATCTATCCACCTTCCACAGCAAAGTCCTAGGCAACGTACTGAAGAGTATGTAAAACAACACAGTGAACCTAGTGACACTGTAGCAACCAAAGGGAATTTAAAGCCTGAATTAGCCCAAGATCTAGAGGATAATAAAGGGAAAAAGCCTTCTTCACCTATCATGTTCTGTCCTCTTGGAAGGCTAGTGAATACAATGGCAGTGAGAAAGGAGATCAGTGTAAACCTCCTGTTCCCCAGTCTTCACATGGCTTCACACACCATTCTAAGAGTCTAGCCGCTCCTGTGCCCCATTCTGGACGAAACATAAATCATCCAACTCATCACTCTGGACATGATGCGGCCACACACGACTTGGCTAAATTCTTAGCACGAAACCAGCTTGTGACATCAGGGCTTAACAAATTTGACGACCGTCCCGAAAACTATCTTGCTTGGAAATCATAATTTCTCAATGCCATCAAAAACCTTGATCTTTCAGCAGGTGAGGAATTTGATTTATTGATTAGGTGGTTAGGACGAGAGTCAGCAGATCATGCCCGTCGCATTAAATCTGTAAATGTAAGGAATTTACCTGCTGGTCTTGAATTGATCTGGGAGAGGCTAGATACGACCTACGGATCTCCAGAAGCTATTGAAAAGGCTCTCTTCACTAAAATAGAGACTTTTCCAAAGATATCAGCTAAAGACCACCATAAACTCCGAGAACTAGGAGACTTGCTTTTAGAGATAGAAGCAGCTAAGAGTGGGGGTGATCTACCTGGGCTCACTTATCTAGATACATCCAGAGGTGTTAATCCAATTGTGCAAAAGTTGCCCTTTGGATTACAAGAAAAGTGGATATGCAGGGTTCACATTACAAGTACACATATGAGGTTCCTTTTCCAGTATTCTCCTTCTTTGTTGAGTTTGTGTGTGCAGAAGCAAGAGCACGCAACGATCCGAGCTTCAACCTTTCTTCGCTCTCCATAACCCCTGGTGGAAAGGACAGATATAGTGAAAGCCACATCCATGTTCATAAACCTGTCTCAGTCCATAAAATGGATGTGATGACCTCCTTGAAGCTTTTTCATGTCAAGAGTCTTCAGAGAGGAGCTGATGAGATCGATAAGCAATGTCCAATACATCGTAAACCCCATCCTCTCAAGAAATGCAGAGGCTTCAGAGAGAAGCCACTAGAGGAATGGATAAGGATTCTAAAGGAGCTGTCCATTTGTTTTAGAATTTTTTGACAATGTTCAAGGGACCTGTGCTCTATATACATTGAAGACATGTGCTGGAGTTGTTGAAGCAACTGGAAGAAGAGCGCATGGGTTCATCATTGAGTCTGCAGACGGTGAGATCAGTTTTTCACTTCCTACTCTTATCGAATGCAATAGTATGCCAGACAACTGAGACGAAATACCAACTGCTGTTGCCGCCCTGCATCATAGCCATTTAAAAGTAATAGCAGACAAGATACCACCCATTGATCCAAATGCTGAAATACTGCTCCTGCTGGGAAGAGACATAATAAGGACGCATAAAGTCCACAGACAACTCAACGGTCCTCATGATGCGCCATATGCCCAAAAATTGGACCATGGTTGGGTCATTGTGGGAAATGTGTGCCTCGGGAAGTGTCAACAAGCCCTCTCCGGTGAACTGCACGAGAACACACATCTTAGAGAATGGCAGACCAAGCTACTTCAGTCCATGCAATAATCACATTGTACTGAAGGAGATGTTTAATGAGAAAACCCAGTTACAAAAACCATCAGGCCTATCCAGCTGCAGACTTCACTCAGTCTTTCAGCAGACCGAAGATGACAATAAATTTGCACCTTCGGTTGAGGACAAAATATTCCTGGACATAATGGAAAAGGAATTCTCCAAGGACTCAAGTAACAGCTGGGTAGCACCACTACCATTTCGTGAGCCAAGAAGACGCTTGCCCAACAACAGAGAGTATGCTGTAAGCCGTTTCATGTCTCTCCGTCGCAACCTTGACAGACGGCCAAAGATGAGAGATGATTTTACAGAATTCATGCAGAGAATACTCGACAATAACCACGCAGAGCTAGCACCTCCTTTACGAAATGGCCATGAGTGCTGGTACCTTCCATCGTTTGGCGTGTACCATCCCAAAAAGCCAGAGCAAATTCGAGTTGTCTTTGACTCTAGTGCAAAGTTTGATGGTATATCTCTGAATGATAAACTGCTGTCAGGGCCAGACCTTAATAACAGCCTGTTAGGGGTCCTCTTAAGATTTCGAAAAGATTCTGTTGCCATCACAGCCGACATACAGCAGATGTTTCACTGCTTCTTGGTTCGGGAGGACTGCCGTGATGTTTTGCGCTTTCTGTGGCATCGTGATAACGATCTGACTAAGGAGGTCGTGGACTACAGGATGTGAGTTCACGTATTTGGCAACAAACCTTCGCCAGCATTGGCCATTTACGGAACACGTAGAGCTGCCAGAGAAGAAGAAAAGGAATACGGCAGTGATGTAAGGAAATTCATTGAACGAGATTTTTATGTAGATGACGCCTTAAAGTCGTTTCCTACAGAGGAGGAGGCAATTGATGTACTCAAAAGGACACAGGAGGCACTTGCAGTCTCAAACCTCAGACTCCATAAAATTGCGGCAAACAGAGCCAAAGTAATGGATGCCTTTCCGAATGAAGACTTGGCAAAGGATATCAAATATCTTGATCTCTCCACAGACGACTTACCTGAGCAGAGAAGTTTAGGGGTACAGTGGAATCTAATGTCAGACACGTTCACCTTTCAGGTGCCTAACACTGAAAAGCCATACATGCGAAGAGGAGTGCTTTCAACAGTGAATAGCTTATTCGATCCTCTTGGATTCCTGGCACCAATCACAATTCAGGGACGTCTACTTTTAAGAGAACTCTCATTGGAAACACAAGAGTGGGACACACCACTACCTGAGAACAGACATGACGAGTGGACACGGTGGTGTGATTCACTGCAAGACTTGAGAAATATGAGCATTCCACGAATGTATGTACCCTGCTGGCCTCACTAACACCTCTTCCAGCAGCAACCTAGTTTTCCCAGGAGGTCTCCCATCCAGGTACTGACCAGGCTCATCCCTGCTTAGCTTCAGTGGGCAACCAGTCTTGGGCTACAGGGTGATATGGCTGCCAGTATGAATGATGTACTGCTGTCAGGGCCTGACCTTAATAACAGCCTGTTAGGGGTCCTCTTGAGATTTCGAAAGGATCCTGTTGCCATCAAAGCAGACATACAGCAGATGTTTCACTGCTTCTTGGTTCGGTAGGACTGTCGTGATGTTTTGCGCTTTCTGTGGCATCGTGACAACGATCTGACTAAGGAGGTCGTGGACTACAGGATGCGAGTTCACGTATTTGGCAATAGACCTTCGCCAGCAGTGGCCATTTATGGAACACGCCGAGCTGCCAGAGAAGAAGAAAAGGAATACGGCAGTGATGTAAGGAAATTCATTGAACGAGATGTTTATGTAGATGATGCTTTAAGGTCATTTCCTACAGAGGAGGAGGCAATTGATGTACTCAAAAGGACACAAGAGGCACTTGCAGTCTCAAACCTCAGACTCCATAAAATTACGGCGAACAGAGTCAAAGTAATGGATGCCTTTCCAAATGAAGACTTGGCAAAGGACATCAAATACCTTGACCTCTCCATGGACGACTTACCTGAGCAGAGAAGCTTGGGGGTACAGTGGAATCTAATGTCAGACACGTTCACCTTTCAGGTGCCTAACACTGAAAAGCCATACATGCGAAGAGGAGTGCTTTCAACAGTGAATAGCTTATTCGATCCTCTTGGATTCCTGGCACCAATCACAATTCAGGGCCGTCTACTCTTAAGAGAACTCTCATTGGAAACTCAAGAGTGGGACACACCACTAAATGAGAACAGACATGACGAGTGGATGCGGTGGTGTGATTCACTGTAAGACTTGAGAAATATGAGCATTCCACGAATGTATGTAACCATTCCTCTTTCTGCAGCCAAACACACAGAAATATGTGTCTTCTCAGATGCCTCCATGAAAGCTATCTCAGCTGTAGCATACTTGAGA